GTGTGTGTGTGTGTGTGTGTGTGTGTGTGTGTGTGTGTGCATACTCACCTAATTGTACTCACCTAATTGTGCTTGCGGGGGTTGAGCTCTGGCTCTTTGGTCCCGCCTCTTGTAACACGGGTTCGGGTTCCTCTCTCTTACTTATCTTCCTTCTTTGCCCTCTCTACCCGTATTCTTACTTTTTATTCTCTACCAAGGGACTCCAAAACTTTTACCAAAGCCAACTCCACGCCACGTGGTCCTAAGACGATTGACCGACTTAGGATTCTACACCCAGTATGACGTGACCTAGGCTTTGAGCAAAACCCTAGAGTCGCCTCTACGCTGCCACCACCAGACCAGTAACAAAGAGCAATGATCGAGGTCTGGATCGATCACGCTAATTAATCAACCTTGGGGCTTGATCCCCACTCGATGACCGTGGAAACTTAAGAGTGTGAAATTAATTACACGGGAATGATTCGATGTTAGAATCGATGTTAGAATCGGCGCCCAATCCAACTCTACCTCGTGTGGACCACGTGACCAGGACAAGTATACACATAAAATACATGGAAATAATAAAATGCAAAATATTAACAAATTTAATTTATTAAAAGAAAACTAAAACAAAAATCTAAATATGTTCACTCCCTGTCACTTTAACACTCCCTACTTGACCTGAATGGCAAATGAGACTATTTCTATACATAACCATAGCAACTATACCTCTATGTTTTACCAGCTAAAGATGTTGGGCTGGTCTCGGGGAGAGGTAAGATGTTTGACCTCTCCCAGCTGCTCCCGTATTCACACTGATCTGTCCTCGTCTGATCTAGCCCAGACTAGAACATTGTATTGTTCCGCATCGTTTACCCAGTTACTTTAGCAAGGTTAAGTTATAACAATTAACCTCTGTTGTACTTAATTGATCCAGACTGGTTGAATTATTTTACTGAAATTAAATTACACAAGCCTCTAACGGCAGAGCTGTTCCCGATCACAAAAATGGTTATTAAAACTTTGAGAAATAGTAGACCTGTCAACCCTGCTGACCTATGACCGCCGGTCACTCCGCCTTACAAGTTAGATCTGATTCGTGACGTCACTGATGGTGATTTAAACTCAATAATTAGAATACTCTTGATATTGTATCCAGTACTATTATACAATACAATTTTAATACAAAATGAATAAAGGCTAATTTCTCTAAATTACTGAATACTATAGGATGATTCATTATACGCAGCTATGAACAAAGCGTTGGTTATTTCCACCGCGAATTCCCCTGGGGGTCAGGTCCCCAGGTCACCATGCGGGCTCAGCTTCCCATCCTCTTTTGTCGATAAACCACTCTGGATAATTCTTACAACAGCCTAGTTTGTTACACTCTCAACTGTCAATCAACAGGTGTACAGGTTCCTGAGCCTACTGGGCTCTATCATATCTACATTTGAAACTGTGTATGGAGTCAACCTCCACCACATCACTTCCTAGTGCATTCCATTTACTAACTACTCTGACACTGAAAAATTTCTTTCTAATATCTCCGTGGCTCATTTGGGCACTCTTTTTTTTCCACCTGTGCGGAGTGCATTTTATTAGACTGTCGGAAAGCCTTTGACACAGTATCCGATAAGAGGCTGGTACATAAACTGGAGAGGCAGGCAGGAGTAACTGGTAAGGTGCTCCAATGGATAAGGGAGTACCTAAGCAGTAGGAAGCAGAGAGTTACAGTGAGGGGTGGGACCTCAGATTAGCGTGAAGTCACCAGTGGAGTCCCACAGGGCTCTGTACTCGGTCCTATCCTGTTTCTGATATACGTAATTGATCTTCCGGAGGGTATAGACTCATTCCTCTCAATGTTTGCTGACGATGCCAAAATTATGAGAAGGATTATGACAGAGGAGGACAGCTTGAGGCTTCAAGAAGACCTGGACAAACTGAAGGAATGATCGAACAAATGGTTGTTAAGAGTTTAACCCAAGCAAATGTAATGTTATGAAGATAGGTGTAGGGAGCAGGAGACCAGATACAAGTTATCATTTAGGAGATGAAATTGGTAAGGTACACTACACTACACAACTAGTGTAATGTAGTGTAAGCAGAGTGCCTCTGCACACTCTTTCAATAGCCATGGTGAGATTCCGTCTGGATCAACAGCCTTTCTAACATCCAGATGCAACAGGTGTTTCTTGACCTCGCCTCATCTGTGTGCGCGTGCGTGTGTGTGTGCACGTGTGCGTGTGTGTGTGTGTGTGTGTGTGTGTGTGTGTGTGTGTGTGTGTGTGTGTGTGTGTGTGTGTGTGTGTGTGTGTGTGTGTGTGCACGTGTGTGTGTGTGTGTGTGTGTGTGTGTGTGTGTGTGTGCGCGCGTGTGTGTGTGTGTGCGTGTGTACACACCAGCCAGTAAGGCAGGACACAGGCCACCGCCCGCCAGGCTCTGACACAGAACACATAACAGTGCTAAACCTTGGGGGAGCAATTCCAGGCTCGTCCCATTTGCAACTTAATTGGTCACTTTCCATCAGGGGCTTGGAAGGAGCTTGAGCTTGATCATCCTGGGCTCGAGGGAAGCTTAAACTTGATCATTCTATGCTGCTGAATGGCTTTCTCTTGATCATCCTGCGTTGTGATCAGCTTACTCTTGATTATTCTCAGCTTGAGAGAAGCTTAATACTGATCATGCTACAGAAAATTCAAATTTTGTGTGCCATAAGATCCCCTCGGGGAGTCCTGTGAGAGGACAAGACATAAAAATGTATAAAATCAATCTGACTTCATCTTTTAATAGTTAAACTGTAATACGATATCGAAGAGGACATTATAAGGGCATAGGACTCACTATTCGCTCCTACAGGGTGACATGGGCCCGGGTGCAGAGCCTGGTAGCTCTGACAGAGCCTGGTGGCTCTGACAGAGCCTGGTAGCTCTGACAGAGCCTGGTAGCTCTGTCAGAGCCTGATAGCTCTGACAGAGCCTGATAGCTCTGACAGAGCCTGATAGCTCTGACAGAGCCTGATAGCTCTGACAGAGCCTGATAGCTCTGACAGAGCCTGGTAGCTCTGACAGAGCCTGGTAGCTCTGACAGAGCCTGGTGGCTCTGACAGAGCCTGGTGGCTCTGACAGAGCCTGGTGGCTCTGACAGAGCCTGGTAGCTCTGACAGAGCCTGATAGCTCTGACAGAGCCTGATGGCTCTGACAGAGCCTGATAGCTCTGGGGGGAGCCTTCAAGCATTATACTCTAAGCGTTAACATGCTGCAAGAAGCTCAGAGTATAAACATTAGGTGGACACCATTCATGGTCAACAGGTGAGGTCCGGCATGGGTGCCGATGAATGGGTAATGCTATCATTACCCATTCATCACATTACTCCGGTAATGATGGGGGACCTTTGTTGTGGTGAGTGGCTCTGGATATGGACGGATGACTTGGGGTAATGGACGGGTGACTTGTGGTAATGGACGGGTGACTTGTGGTAATGGACGGGTGACTTGTGGTAATGGACGGGTGACTTGTGGTAATGGACGGGTGACTTGGGGTAATAGACGGGTGACTTGGGGTAATAGACGGGTGACTTGGGGTAATGGACGGGTGACTTGTGGTAATGGACGGATGACTTGGGGTAATGGACGGGTGACTTGGGGTAATGGACGGATGACTTGTGGTAATGGACGGGTGACTTGTGGTAATGGACGGATGACTTGTGGTAATGGACGGGTGACTTGGGGTAATGGACGGATGACTTGTGGTAATGGACGGGTGACTTGGGGTAATGGACGGATGACTTGGGGTAATGGACGGATGACTTGGGGTAATGGACGGGTGACTTGGGGTAATGGACGGATGACTTGGGGTAATGGACGGATGACTTGGGGTAATGGACGGATGACTTGGGGTAATGGACGGGTGACTTGGGGTAATGGACGGATGACTTGGGGTAATGGACGGATGACTTGTGGTAATGGACGGGTGGGTAATAGATCAATTAACATCAATGACTAAAATAGTTGCGCCAATACAGTAAATGGTGGTTAAATCTACCCTACAGAAAGGGAGAGGGGGGGGGGGGGGGAGAGAGAGAGGGAAAGAAAGAGGGAGAGAGAGAGAGAGAGAGAGGGGAAGGAAAGAAGGAGGGGAGACAAAGAGACCCAAGCACCGCCGGGTACCTCATCGACTAGTTATCCATAACACCTCCGAGGATCCCTAAGAGCTCGGCTTTGCATAATCTTTCCAAATGGTGAATCCAAATTCGCACCCTCTTGTAAGGCCTGGTCAGGGACCGGGCCCAGGGGACGCTGATCTTCGAGATCATCTACAGTTAGGTTTTATTTTGTTGAAGTTAGAAAAGTTGCTGACGTGGTTGGCTAGTTAGGTAAACACCCTCCGCCCCCCCCAATGATGGGAAGGAGAGGGGGGGGGGTGGAAGGGAAGGGGGGGGGGATGGAGGGAGGTGGAGGGGAAGGGGGGATGGGGGGATGGGGGGGGGGTGGTTATGAACACCCTGGCAGCAGTGTTACAACAAAATGTTCCCACCTCTGAACTCACATAAACAAACTGTGACGTCACTCCGCGATCGATTCCCCATTTTCTTTTAATAGCTCCCCCCACCGCGAGAAAACCAATGACGTCATGATTATAGGCTTCCCGCTTAATTATAGGTCTTCCCCCGTAATTATCGCCGGGCAGGTGAGGTTGTCATAATGTTTGCTTAGCGCGCGGTAATTGCGATAATTCAATAATGGCAACTCGATATGGTTCTGTCCATCAGAGGGACCGAAGGAGATATATATTGTCATATACTATATATATTAGGATATAATAATAAATTTATGAAATAGTCATTCCACCCTCCAATCACCACGAAGTTCGTCAGTTCCCCCATTTTTGTTCCCATCTAACGACATAAACACATTACGTTACCATAGTCCCTATTTTCTCAACATTTTGACTGAAGTTCACGACAAGGAACAGTCTAAACTAACGTATGTGAAGAGAGCGGTAGAGGGCCGTCCACTCACCGGAATAGTTGGCTCTCTCGAAGATGATGTAGTCCCTGGCCGCCTTGTGCAGGAAGTAGCCCATCTGGAGTCCGCCCGGGCCGGCCCCTATGACGCAGTAGTTATGGCTGGCCACGACGCCAGGGGCGCCGCCCGCGGTGGCGCTGCAGGCCAGCAGCAGCAGCAGAAGCAGGGACAGCAGAAGCAGGGGGAGGAAGACGAGAGATGGCCGACGTCTGCTGGCTGGCGCAGCACCCTGGCTCCCCCATCCCCCTCCCATCACCCTCGATGGCACCAGCTGTTGGAGGAGAGGAGAGGTGTGAGCCAGCTGACACTGAAGGGTGGTGGCCAGCTGGCACTAAAGAGGGTTGGGGGCCAAGTGGCATTATAACATTATATATCATATAGTTATGCTACACTTGTGTACACTGGTGGCAAGCTTCACCTACTGAGGGCCAAGGAGCCCCACCTGAACACCAGGACTTACCCTCACGCTCGTCTGGACTAAAACAGGTGACAAACGCTCTCTCTGGATTGCTACTAAACATAAATTTAGTTTTCCTGTTAACAATGTTAAAATTAACTCCACGAAGGGTACAGAAATTCAGAGAATAAGTCACGTGGCTAAAGACAAATGACCAAACGTAGACTTGTGACAAAAAATGAAATTGAAGATGTTTCGGTCCGCTCTGAAGCCTTATCAAGACGTGACTGAGGAGATGTGGGAGAGGAAGTCTGTATAAGGCAAGAGGGAAGGAAAGAGGAGAGGTGTACCCAAATATGCTTGGCAACTTCTTTTGATAATGTCTTACTTCAGCAGAAAACGGATGAATAAAGTTAACTTTCGATGGAGTAAGAGGTGGCACTTGAGCGTGATGACAACGACTCAGGAGTCTAGACCAGAGAATGTGTACTCTGTTAGCTGCCCGAATTTAGTTGGTGAAGGTGAAGGGATCTGCTGGAGACTAAGAACCTCTCAAAATATCTAAGAGAACTTGAGTGCTCAAATCAATGTAAGAATATAGGTATAAAGTACAGTACCAGCTGTGCCAGTGTAGCTCCAGGCGCTCACACACCACTACACAAGTCCTGTAACCAGCTACACAAGAGACCATTAGCCTATGTGAGGCGCTGGTTATGTATGTATCACCAACTCACTATAATGTGTCTTGGCTTCTCTCGGAACAATCCGGTGATCCCATGTCTATTATATTACTCGGTAATTTCTTCCGTAGATCAACAACACTGTTTCCATACCAGCCTGACTGTTCATCAGTGGGTCATGGCTGACTGTTCATCAGTGTGTCATGGCTGACTGTTCATTAGTGTCATGACTGACTTCATCAGTGTCATGGCTGACTGTATATCAGTGTGTCATGACTGACTTCATCAGTGTCATGGCTGACTGTTCATCAGTGTCATGACTGACTGTGTGTATGCATGTGGGAGTGTGTGAGCCAGCCAAGACCTGAGTGGTTGTGCCTGCAGGACTTAGAAAGCTGAGAAATTTCATCCAGTCTATTTAAATGGTAATCTGTCTCTCACACCCCCTCCCTGGCCTGCTGGTGGATGCTGGGACCTCTCACATCCCCTCCCTGGCCTGCTGGTGGATGCTGGGACCTCTCACACTCCCTCCCTGGCCTGCTGGTGGATGCTGGGACCTCTCACACCCCCTCCCTGGCCTGCTGGTGGATGCTGGGACCTCTCACACCCCCTCCCTGGCCTACTGGTGGATGCTGGGACCTCTCACACCCCCTCCCTGGCCTGCTGGTGGATGCTGGGACCTCTCACATCCCCTCCCTGGCCTGCTGGTGGATGCTGGGACCTCTCACACCCCCTCCCTGGCCTGCTGGTGGATGCTGGGACCTCTCACACCCCCTCCCTGGCCTGCTGGTGGATGCTAGGACCTCTCACACCCCCTCCCTGGCCTGCTGGTGGAAGCTGGGGCCTCTCACACCCCCTCCCTGGCCTGCTGGTGGATGCTGGGGCCTCTCACATCCCCTCCCCTGGCCTGCTGGTGGATGCTGGGGCCTCTCACATTCCCTCCCTGGCCTGCTGGTGGATGCTGGGGCCTCTCACATTCCCTCCCTGGCCTGCTGGTGGATGCTGAGGCCTCTCACAACCCCTCCCTGGCCTGCTGGTGGATGCTGGGTCCTCTACCTACCCACTTAGCCGCCACCAGTTCTCTGCGTGACGATGGGTTGACAGTTTGAGTTAGTCTCCTTTTTCTTCCCGTTTTCATTGACCTTCGTCATGTTTACGCTGGTAAACTAAGCTATCTTCATCCACCTTGGAACGCGCACACACTCACTCCCACACTTACACTCAGACACACACACACACACACACACACTCTCTCACACTCGTGTGTGTGTGTGTGTGTGTGTGTGTGTGTGTGTGTGTGTGTGTGTGTGTGTGTGTGTGTGTGTGTGTGGTGGCTGCCAAGCTAGGTTCCCCACACTACACCCCTCACACTAATTCGTGTCTTGTGTTTGCCTTTGTATCATCGTATACTGCTAAAGTTTATGTTTTGAGTATGTAATTACTCGGGGGAGGCACCCGGCGGTGTCTGGGTCTTTTTTCTATCCATCAATTTATCTAACTATCCATTTATCCATCATTCTATTTCTCCGTGTATCCCTTCATTTATCTTTCGATCCATTTACCATTAATCCATCCAACTTCCCATTTTTCCATCCATATATTTTTCTATCCATCAATTTATCATCTATCCACCCATCTATCATCTATCTATCTATCATCCCGTCTATCCTTCTGTTCATTAATCAATCCAATTATACATTCTTCTATGCATCCATCTTCTTATCTATCCTTCCACCTGTCTTTCTATCCAAATGTCCATCTATCTCTTCGTCCATCTATATTTTTATCCATTCATTTATCAGTCCAGCATTTTATCTATCTTTCCATCCATCTATCTCTTCATATATCTGCCCATCCATGTATCCATTAATCTATCCGTCTATCTATCCATCTGTCCATCTTCAATCCATTTATTCATCCATCAATCTACTGTCTGTCTCTGTGTCTCTTTCTGTCTGTCTCTGTCTCTCTCTCTTATAGAAAATATAATTGTCACCTACTAGTGTCTGGTCGCAGGTACGAGGAGGTTAGGGAGCGTGAAATACTATAAATTATAAAAGTTACCCATATAATCCGATACATAGGCATGGCATGAGAGATCTTTGCAGCTGTGGAAGGATCATTTGTTTTATGCAACTATGAGCAAATTATGGATAACAGGAAACTTTTGTTAATTTTCTAGAGATCCGAGAATAGTGATGTATATTACTACATGGAAAAACTAAATCTTTTGAGATGTTTGTTTTCAAATTTGAGTGAAACTAACTCTTAGCCTCCAACTTTGAACAAACAAACACACACACACTCTCTCTCATAAGTATAGTTTACTTACTAGAGTTTACGGAGCCGAATTTCAGCTCTTAGGCCCCAAATTTCCTATGATAACCGGCACCTTTTTCTTGATACACCAGCTTTTAAACCTATGCATGGAGATAACTTCTATAATTTCACTTCCTAGCGCCTTCCAGCTGCTTTCTGACCTTGAAGAGATTATTGTGTGTTTCTGTTCACAGTGTACGCGTCTTTACTTGTCTATGTAAGCATTCAGGTGCTCGTGCGCGTGTGTGTGTTTACTAGCTGTGTTTTTACGGGGGTTGAGCGTTGCTCTTTCGGCCCGCCTCTCAACTGTCAATCAACTGTTTACTAACTACTTTTTTTTTTTCCACACCACACACACACACACCCCAGGAAGCAGCCCGTGACAGCTGACTAACTCCCAGGTACCTATTTACTGCTAGGTAACAGGGGCATTCAGGGTGAAAGAAACTTTGCCCATTTGTTTCTGCCTCGTGCGGGAATCGAACCCGCGCCACAGAATTACGAATCCTGCGCGCTATCCACCAGGCTACGAGGCCCCGTGTGTGTGTGTGTGTGTGTGTGTGTGTGTGTGTGTGTGTGTGTGTGTGTGTGTGTGTGTGTGTGTGTGTGCGTGTGCGTGTGCGTGTGCGTGTGCGTGTGTGTGTGCGTGTGCACTTGTTAAAAGGGAGAGAGGGGAGGGGAGGGGTGAGCCCAAGCGAACTGTTCTCAACAATGTTTACTTCTCATGAACCATTATCAATTAGTACAACAATTTAGTTAACGAACAATTAGCAAATAAAACATACACGCACGCACACAAACACTTGTACACACACATAAACACGCACACACGCACGCACACAAGCACTTGTACACACGCATAAACACGCACACGCACACACGCACGCACACAAGCAGTTGCACACACGCATAAACACGCACACAAACACACGCACGCACAAACACGTGCACACACACATAAGCACTCACAAAGGCACGGACACCCAGCACACAGACGAGTGAACAGCGCTCTGGAGCCATGGTCCTAAGGACCCAGGTTCGATTCCCTTCCGAGACCGAACACAATTGGGTAGATTCTGTGTGCTGGGGCTGTGCTAAGTGATAGGATAGATAAAAAAAGTCACGAGTCACTTTATTAGACAACCAGTCAGAGAGGAGGGGGCCCAAGAGCTAATAGCTCGATCTTGCAGGCATAAATAGGTGAGAGCCCCCTCCCCCCCCCACACACACAGCATAGAGAGGGTTTTCAGGCTAGGCTGGCACAAGGATAGAGATCATCTGATAAAGATAATGTTTTCAAACGAGATCACGAAGGAGGCAATTCTAGCAAGGAAGAGTCATCTGTTCTATGTGAAAGGATATAGGAAATTATTACTCCAGAGGGACATGACGAGGGAAGAGAGAGTAAGGGCAGCAGACACAAGGCGGAAGCGCCGGGGGAGAGGAGAGAACCAGGGAACCACAAACCCCAACACAACATTCCTGGAGGGGAGTGGGGAACTCCCAACCAGCACCCCAGAAACCCCAGAGGAGAGGACAACACCCTCATCTTCCTCTCTGTAGAAACCCTCCTTACCCTGAACCCTCCCTGTCCCCATTCACATTCTCATTCAACCTCCCCACCCCCCCCTCACCACATATCCTCCCTGTCCTCCTTCCCCTCACCCAATACCTCCCTGTTCCCCCTCCTGCCTCACTCCATACCATCCTTTGCCCCCCCACCCCTCGCCCCAGAATCCTCCGAGACCCCTGTTAACCAACTCACAAATCCCCACAGCTATGAAATGACTTCCTCCATCTGCAGAAAGACCACCAAGAAGAGGAAACAAGCATGTACAGGAGAAAGTGAGCTTCAAGGCAATGTATACAAATATA